TCCTCTCAAATGTAAATGTATAACAAGAAGGATCATATGTTTCATAACATGTCTATTTTGATTTTGTTTTAAGGTGTATATACATATTTGTGTACAGTACATGAATGTACATGTATCATTCATTTAACTTTTATTAGATTTTTTAGTTTCAGTGTTTTCAAGTCATATTTAGTTGCAGCTGCAGTTGGTACTTTTTCTGTGTTATTGTAAGTATGGTACACCAACTCTTTGTGCTGTCGGAAATCACCGTTTTTTTCCTCTTGGGACATTACTGCAAATTAAACAGCCAATGCAATATAGATAAACCAAGATATCAATTTTCAGTTACAACTTTTGTTCTAGAAATTCAATCCGAATACAGTAGTCTGTCACTTCTTTAGGCTATCCTCCACTGATTTCTGATATATTTATGTACAATTGTATGTTTTTTGTTTTTTTTATCCAGCAGCATTGAGTATTCATGGTTTGCACGTTTCGTGACACTATTGTCTTGAACTTACGTTTTAGGACTGATGCCCAGCTGAGAATTCTACTCAATGCAGTCTCAATAGGTGCTGATGAATATTTCGTCTAAAGTGCATTACTGTGGCTTGGAAACACGATTACCTATCAATTGGAGGCAAATAATGAGTAGGACAAGCTTTTGTCATCATTGTGATGTCGCCAAATTGACTTTGGATGCAGTATAACTTTAGCTAGCTAAGATTGCGGGGAGCGCACTGAAATTTTACCTAGCTAACGTTAGTATTACTAACTATTTCTGACTAGCTTTGCTAGCTCATGGCAACATTGCCATCTTTCTAAAATAAACTTGATGATGTCAAAATGATGGCAAAGTTGTTTTCTACTAATTATTTGTTTACTCTAACAATGTCATCGTATTTCTAGGCCACTATAGGGTAATTTTGACGTAACAGTCATCAGCCCCCTTCAGATAGACTGAGCATTAAGCATCAGTCGGACATCAATATGCTGCGGCATCTGTAGAACGTTGATAACAATGGCAACGACGCGGCCGAGTAACGTAGATGCAGCTCATAAATAATACCACCCTACATTCAATATTATTATTTCATGTTTTCAGAATTCTGCTTCTGCAAAATCATATTTTTTGTATATATTTTTGTATTGAGCGTTTCACAACGATCTGCCAAGGCCCCAGGGTGCTTGATCCTAAGGCCGGGTATTTGAAATCAAGCCACCAAGATGGCTTGAAATCAAGCCACCAACTCAGACTTGAGGACAATACAACATATCAGAAAATCCATACCATATATACGTTAAACAGCGCATCTTGACCCTGATTCAGATTTCCCTCGCCCATACAGGACTAGTTCTGGACAACGCCATATAGTTTGATAAGTTCACTTTTGAAACACTTGCAACATATTGTAAAATATCAAGGCCATATATTTGTACTTTCACTGACAACCTCTCATAGGCTTAGTGCGGCTCCTTTATCCCGGGGTATGTAATTTAGCATCCGGAAAAACATGTCTTTATCTGGTTGTAATCTGACCAGAAAACAACGAGAATATGACGTCTTTCCCATGACATATTGGTGTTGTCAGAAATTATTTTATGCTTATATGATGTATTCTTGACCAGAAAAACAGCTAAGAACCAGATATGACGTTATACTGCCTAATTTTGCCGGCTTGGCTGATTGCTTGATCAATGTGTTGATACATTTTGATTCGTACATGTCCTCCCTCTCTCTAACCTAGGTGACTAAACAGTATTCAACATGACATGCATATCAACGCTATCGCAGTGCATAATAACTCTGTAGCTTACACATTGAGTATCTTAATAATACTGAAAGGAAACATTCACTTGGAGCCGCATGAGTCTGACAAGCTCTGCTGCCGGTCTAGGAACAGACCTGTGGGAGGCTCTCCTGCATACTGTTATCACCTTACAGTCCAGTATTTTCAGCACATCAGCAAAAGGACAAGGATGGCACCGTTCCCAGGCTAGCGCAAGATGGCTGCAGACTGTGGGTTAATGGGTTTAGCCTAAGAGAAGACTCCGTTAGGTTCTGGATCCAATAGAGGAAGAGAATGTTCCCCTTGCAGGTCAATGTCTGTCTGTCTGCAGTCTTGGATTCTGCCCCACCCAGTCCACACTCTCTGGCCTCAACTCAGGAGCCCCAAACACACAACGCAGCAGTTCTAAAGAGAAACGCATTACATTTAAGAATCACTAAGCAAAAAAATGACTGACAGACGCTTATTATAAAATAAATGTTCAGTAATCTTTTTGAAAATACAATCTAAGAAATGTAAACAAAAGACATTCATAATTGTGTTAGTCCTACATGTAATTGAAATATTGAAAAACAATTTTAAAAAATGTATACATAACTGTAAATTAATTTGATAAATACAGCTACCAAAAAACGCCCCAAAATGTAATAAAACAATATAACATTAATCAAAAAGTGACTCTATAAGCTCTATGGAATGTAATGCAAATCAGAATCACGTTTGTAATGAGCTCCAATGAACAGTGCGACAAAGTACGAAGCTCCACCTCTGATTAACCAACAGAAATACACACCACACTGGCTAACTCAGCATCAAAACACTATGATGTATCTTCAAAACCCAACCCTGTCTCTGTGCCACTCATGCACATACTTCAACACACAACGTAATTCTACTTGACCTGTTGTACACATTGCCACATCTCTACCCACTACAATCAACAACATTACATTCATGCTCGTCTGATAATTATTATCTTAGGGTTGAAAAGTCTACTATGTTTTTTTAACTAGATGAATAGCTACCTGCGTAATTTTTTTAACCTCTTAAATTAAGAAATAATTCTGAAAAACAACTCATTCTTTATTTACATACCGTATGGAGTGCTTTCGCTAGCTACCTGTTCTAAAATCAAATGCTACCATTGTTCACATTATGGTAAAGAATGATAATCATATTTTTTTCTGTGCTTCTCTCACTAGAACCACAGCTCCACTTCTAAACCCATCTTCTCCCCTCTGGAAAGTGCATTCTTGCTTGGTGCAATATCTTGCTCTTTGATCATGTTATTGTTTAATACATTTTCTGGGTGACACTTTAAGATAGGGGACAAATGCTGACCAGCATATAAGTAACTGAATCTAAATGTGCTGGCTAAGCTGGCTAATTAGCTTTTCACCTACCAACTGTGTGCGTATAGAGCATCCATCCATATGGATATTAGGCTAATTCCTGGACAACAACTATTGATTTGCCCGTGTTGCATCATCTCCACAGTTTCTTGTCTTATCCCTGGAACAAAGTTCACCTCTCCACAATGGCTACCATGAAAGAGAAGCCCTTATAATAATCCTCTCTAATCCTTCTCTCTTGCCCAATATACCACAACCAGAAGGCACATGAGAGCGACCGCCTACCACCGCAGTCATGTTTCTGTAAAATAACACCCACACAACCTCCACACAACCCAGTCTCACAAGGACGGACTAGACTCTATTGCTACATTCGCCATGGAAGGCCACTGCAGTTTCCATCGCTTCATTAAATAGTTTCATACAGACAGTATATTATAAATAAACGGGAGAAAACGTCAAATGTAATGAAACTGCATTCATTTAACATCCTTCTCTGCTGTGTTATCACAAAATATCATACTTCTAATACAATCTCTCCATATATCAATATATAATGTTTATACTGTATGTTTTAATTGAGTATTCATCTAATACAACCAACAAAGAAGATGATAAGGACTTCAGATATTTTTAAAGAACCATTACATCCAGCAGAAATATGGTAAATATAGAAATATCATCCCTTTGCCTGGTGCCTACAGTATAACGTTCACTTTAGCGTACACCCAGGCAAACGGTTAGTTATCAGAACACATTTGGACTCCATACCTGGAGACTACACGGACTAGACAAATGGTCAAGAACCCTCTACTTCTTCAAGGAAGGAGTCTGAGCTAAATGCAAGCATCATACTTCAGCTACTGAGGGAAATTATTCATAAAAGCTAGTTCTTTAAATAAAAGTGGCACCTTCAGGTGCCTCCTAAAGCTTCACAACAAGCTATGTGGTATAGTCCTTTTTTACTGTAACACCAGTTGATGTAGTTAGAGCACTGAGAAAGCCAAACATTATATTATAGAAAGCTGCATCTTACATAATATCTCCAAACAGGAGTAATATCTCATATCGAAAACAAAGCCTCAACTTAAGATACTTACAAAAATACTACCATCATACAACATTGTGCGGAGTCTGGGTACAATTGAGATGAACTAACTGTTCACCTCTTAACAGTTTTGGACTTATTTTGGAGAGTGTTAACACCTCAAAAGTGTTTTGGCACTTACTTTGGCCCTTTGGATGTGCAATTTTTAAATTGTATTTAATTTAGTTGAGTTTAAGACAATAAGTAAGACTGTTTTAAGTTTCACATGTTGAATGTGACTTAACTGTGCACCATCTTAATTGACTGGGAGTTGACATTTTTAAGATGGCACTTTTAGTTGGAAAGTGTTGTCCATTTTTAGATGTTGATTTGGGTGCAGTATGATGGGAAAGCTTTGAAATAACTATTGAGAATTACCCTCATCACAGATGATCACAAAATGTGCGTGTTGGGGAGGTTATATGTGAAAATCAAAATTGATTAAGACCAAATCGAATAAAGAGGTGGTTTTATCGTGCAAGTATGTTGTTTAAAAAGAAAGCGTGCTAGAAACGAATGTACATCACACTTTTTTACAGCTACCATGGACCCTATATCAATGTTTCTGCCTGACATAGGTGGCTGTTCTCAGGTGACATTGACCTGTTGGAAGCCAGTACACCAACCGAAGACTACAGCAAATGCAATGGAATCTTACATCATGAGAGAGCAAAATGTAGAGCTGACAGAAGAGAAGGCTATGGGAGGATAGAGAGTAGCACAGGACCTCTCTCTACCTGCCAAAGATGGAGTGATGAGGGGAGGAGGGTAAAATAGCAAGGGGTGCAGAATTTAGAACTCAATCTTGCAGGCGGGGAAAGACTCGTCCTGCATGACCACTGTGCTGCTGCTGGCCAGGACCATAATGTTCAGGTCCTGCTGTTTTTCATGTGTCTGCTGGTACCAGTCCCGCGTCACCTCTGTGTCATGAGTAGGGATCAGAGTCACCTAGGTTAGAGAGAAGGAGGACATGTATGAGTCAAATCTACCAATACATCAATACATTGATCAAGCATTCAGCCCAGCCGGCAAAATTAGGCAGCATTACGTCATATCTTGTACTTAACAGTTTTTTCTGTTCAAGAATACGTCATATAAACAGATTATATCCATAAAGGAAAATAATTTTCCTGACAACACCAAGACGTCATGGGAAAGACATCATATTCTAGATGTTATCTGGTCAGATTACAACCAGATAAAGACATGTTTTGCCAGATGCTAATTAATGTTTTTCAAAATGTAATATTAAAAGCAGTATACAACCTGACGATGATGTCATAAAAGATGTCATACTGAATTTATTGCAACCAGAGCCATATATTTAGGGCGCGTTCGTAAATTCAATCTGGAGTGCCAGAGTGCGCTCTGGGCGTTCGTAAATTCAGAGCATTGTCAGATTGTTCATTCGTAAATTCAGAGCGTTTCGCTCTGAGCGTTCAGTGCGAACACTGGACGCTCTGGCCGAGGAGTAGGGTTGATCCGAGCGTTCGGACCTCACAACAGCAGTCAAGCACCCAAGCTAACTGGCGTTTGCTAGATTCTTAGCTACTTCCATACACAAATGCGAGAACACCTCACTCTGACCATTTTACTCACCCTAGCAGAGCTGGTTAGGCTGTTTTCATGTTATCCAGAGTGTTGGTGACTGTAACTGGCTGCTGCTGGCAACAATTTAATTACACTTTTTTGCCGACATTTACTGACACCGGCCATCTTCAACGGGTGTTGAGCGTTCGTAAATTAATCAGTTATTCTGCGCTCTGGCACACTCAGTGCTCTGAAATCAGAGTAGATAGCCAGAGTGAATTTACGAACGCACCCTTAGAGAGTTAGAACAATATTCAAAATTCTAAAAGTTGGCCTAATTCTAAACATTCAGTTGCATAGCATTGTTTCAATATTCCCCATGTAATGTTAATGGGGAGCTAAAATGGCTGCTATAGAATGTTGAAGTGTCATGTAAATGCATCATAATGCAGAAACTGCATTGGCCCAACTCTCTAAATACATGGCTCTGATTGCAACCAGCTTTGCCCACTGGAAGTATTGTGCGATACTCAACAGGAAATGTTAATTACATCATCGTCATTATGAACTGCCAGAATGCAAATTACTGTAGAACAACATTGACAGTTACATCGTGAATGTTACAATCTGACTGCTCATAAAATAATTACTGTATGTCAGGCTGTGGCTGTAAACAATGGCAAACATTGTCGAAAGCATTGTCAAGCATCTGTTGGCACTACCAAATGTGTAATTTCCCAATTTTACAAGTGATTCAGATCAATGATTCTGAATATATCTCGGTGGATCCTGAGATTAGCAGTGGTGCAGAATGCCTCCGCAGCAAGAAAGCACAGGCTACCCAGCGTCGTCCAGGGTAGGGGAGGGAATGGCTGGCAGGGATGTAGCTCAGTTGGTTGAGCATGGCGTTTGCAACGCCAGGGTTGTGGGTTCGATTCCCACGGGGGGCCAGTATGAAAAATAAAATAAAATAATGTATGCACTAACTGTAAGTCGCTCTGGATAAGAGCGTCTGCTAAATGACTAAAATGTAAAAAAAATAAAAAAATACATGTGTACTTACAATGTGGAAAAAAGTCAAACAACATTTGAACAACAGCAGAGACAGAGCGAGACAAAGAGAAAAAGAGTACCTGTAGATTGGAGCCCCACGCGGCCTTGCCCTCGAGCAGGGCATCCAGGACCCCACGACTGGGCTCTCCACCGGCTGGGTCATTGCCGCTTACCACGTAGTACGCAGCACGTACCCGCTTGAAGAACTCCTGGTCCACGTTCTTAGCACTGCAGTGGTTGGGCACGTAGGCCAGGTCCACATAGATTGGAGGACCAGGGGGGACAGCTGAACTAGATTTCTGGGAGTTTGTACCTGGAGGAGGAGGACCATAATGTAAAATTGTATAAGTCTCTAATGACTTGAGAATGACTAATGTGTTTTCCTCTGTTTGACTGGGGGATATTCAGACTTTAACAGTGCCTTGCAAAAGTACACTGCTCAAAAAAATAAAGGGAACACTTAAACAACACAATGTAACTCCAAGTCAATCACACTTCTGTGAAATCAAACTGTCCACTTAGGAAGCAACACTGATTGACAATAAATTTCACATGCTGTTGTGCAAATGGAATAGACAACAGGTGGAAATTATAGGCAATTAGCAAGACACCCCCAATAAAGAAGTGGTTCTGCAGGTTGTGACCACAGACCACTTCTCAGTTCCTATGCTTCCTGGCTGATGTTTTGGTCACTTTTGAATGCTGGCGGTGCTTTCACTCTAGTGGTAGCATGAGACGGAGTCTACAACCCACACAAGTGGCTCAGGTAGTGCAGCTCATCCAGGATGGCACATCAATGCGAGCTGTGGCAAGAAGGTTTGCTGTGTCTGTCAGCGTAGTGTCCAGAGCATGGAGGCGCTACCAGGAGACAGGCCAGTACATCAGGAGACGTGGAGGAGGCCGTAGGAGGGCAACAACCCAGCAGCAGGACCGCTACCTCCGCCTTTGTGCAAGGAGGAGCAGGAGGAGCACTGCCAGAGCCCTGCAAAATGACCTCCAGCAGGCCACAAATGTGCATGTGTCTGCTCAAACGGTCAGAAACAGACTCCATGAGGGTGGTATGAGGGCCCGATGGCCACAGGTGGGGGTTGTGCTTACAGCCCAACACCATGCAGGACGTTTGGCATTTCCCAGAGAACACCAAGATTGGAAAATTCGCCACTGGCGCCCTGTGCTCTTCACAGATGAAAGCAGGTTCACACTGAGCACATGTGACAGACGTGACAGAGTCTGGAAACGCCGTGGAGAACGTTCTGCTGCCTGCAACATCCTCCAGCATGACCGGTTTGGCGGTGGGTCAGTCATGGTGTGGGGTGGCATTTCTTTGGGGGGCCGCACAGCCCTCCATGTGCTCGCCAGAGGTAGCCTGACTGCCATTAGGTACCGAGATGAGATCCTCAGACCCCTTGTGAGACCATATGCTGGTGCGGTTGGCCCTGGGTTCCTCCTAATGCAATACAATGCTAGACCTCATGTGGCTGGAGTGTGTCAGCAGTTCCTGCAAGAGGAAGGCATTGATGCTATGGACTGGCCCGCCCGTTCCCCAGACCTGAATCCAATTGAGCACATCTGGGACATCATGTCTCGCTCCATCCACCAACGCCACGTTGCACCACAGACTGTCCAGGAGTTGGCGGATGCTTTAGTCCAGGTCTGGGAGGAGATCCCTCAGGAGACCATCCGCCACCTCATCAGGAGCATGCCCAGGCGATGTAGGGAGGTCATACAGGCACGTGGAGGCCACACACTACTGAGCCTCATTTTTACTTGTTTTAAGGACATTACATCAAAGTTGGATCAGCCTGTAGTGTGGTTTTCCACTTTAATTTTGAGGGTGATTCCAAATCCAGACCTCCATGGGTTGATAAATTTGATTTCCACTGATAATTTTTGTGTGATTTTGTTGTCAGCACATTCAACTATGTAAAGAAAAAAGTATTTAATAAGATTTTTTCATTCATTCAGATCTAGGATGTGTTGTTTAACTGTTCCCTTAATTTTTTTGAACAGTGTATTAATTCCCCTTGGCATTTATCCTATTTTGTAGCATTACAACCTCTATTTTAAATTGATTTTTATTTTTATTTCATGTAATGGACATACACAAAATAGTCCAAATTGGTGAAGTGAAATTAAAAAAATAACTTCTTTCAAATAATTATAAAAAATGAATAATGGAAAAGTGGTGCGTACATTTGTATTCACCACCTTTGCTATGAAGCCCCTAAATAAGATCTGGTGCAACCAATTACCTTCAGAAGTCAAATAATTAGGTAAAGTCCACCTGTGTGCAATCTAAGTGTCACTTGATCTGTCACATGATCTCAGTATATATACACCTGTTCTGAAAGGCCCCAGAGTCTACAACACCACTAAGCAAGGGGCATCAACAAGCAAGCGGCACCATGAAGACCAAGGAGCTCTCCAAACAGGTCATGGACAAAGTTGTGGAGAAGTACAGATCTGGGTTGGGTTATAAAAAAAACTCTGAAACTTTGAACATCCCACAGAGCACCATTAAATCCATTATTTAAAAATTGAAAGAATATGGCACCACAACAAACCTACCAAGAGAGGGCCGCCCACCAAAACTCACAGACCGGGCAAGGAGGGCATTAATCAGAGAGGCAACAAAGAGACCAAAGATAACCCTGAAGGAGCTGCAAAGCTCCACAGCGTAGATTGGAGTATCTGTCCATAGGACCACTTTAAACCGTACGCTCCACAGAGCTGGGCTTTACGGAAGAGTGGCCAGAAAAAAGCCATTGCTTAAAGAAAAAAATAAGCAAACACTTTTGGTGTTCGCCAAAAGGCATGTGGGAGACTCCCCAAACATATGGAAGAAGGTACTCTGGTCAGATGAGACTAAAATGTAGCTTTTTGGCCATCAAGGAAAATGCTATGTCTGGCGCAAACCCAACACATCTCATCACCCCGAGAACACATCATGCTGTGGGGATGTTTTTCATCGGCAGGGACTGGGAAACTGGTCAGAATTGAAGGAATGATGGATGGCGCTAAATACAGGGAAATTATTGAGGGAAACCTGTTTCAGTCTTCCAGAGATTTGAGACTGGGATGGAGGTTCACCTTCAATGACAATGACCCTAAGCATACTGCTAAAGCAACACTTGAGTGGTTTTTAAGGGAAAACATTTAAATGTCTTGGAATGGCCTAGCAACAGCGGAACCCATCCAACTTGAAGAAGCTGGAGCAGTTTTGCCTTGAAGAATGGGCACAAATCCCAGTGGCAAGATGTGCCAAGCTTATAGAGACATACCCCAAGAGACTTGCAGCTGTAATTGCTGCAAAAGGTGGCTCTACAAAGTATTTACTTTGGGGGGGTGAATAGTTATGCACGCTCATGTTTTCTGTTTTTTTGTCTTATTTCTTGTTTGTTTTACAATAAAGATTTTGCATCTTCAAAGTGGTAGGCATGTTGTGTAAATCAAAACCCCCCAAAAATGTATTTTAATTCCAGGTTGTAAGGCAACAAAATAGGAAAAATGCCAAGAGGGGTGAATACTTTCGCAAGCCACTGTATGTCTACGTAAATCAAGAGTAAATTAGAATGGGGAAGTGTGTGTCATAAAGTGCTGCGGAATGATTTTGAAACGAAGGTAGGCCTATTACATTTCTATTATATTTTTACGTAAATTACGTTTTTAAAGTTTCCTAAACTTTTTACAGGCGTGAAAGTGTCTACTACTGAATATGGAGTCATATCATCATATCTAAATATGGAGTCGTATCATCATACTTTATTTTTACCTACCCAAATTGCTCTTGACGCCGTTCACCAGGCCTTTCCCTGGAGCGTGTAGGTCCCCCTTGGATCCCAGGCCCTCAGACATCCACGTCAGTCTGGAGCTCCTTTCCGTGTCCCTCCTCCTCAGAGAGGCAGATCGAGGCGAGGAATCCTTGGAGGCCTGCTTCACAGGGGTGGTGGACCTCTTCCCCTTCCGGGCTGGGGACGCAGACTTAGGCTTGCCCAGGCCCTTCCGCAGGCTCTTGGTGGTCTTGTGGTCCTTCTTGAGCATTTTCTCTGTGCTGCTCTGGTTGTCAGGGAGGCCCTCTGGGTCCACCATGCACACATCAGGGTGAGGCGGGTGGGGGAGGGGGTCCTTCATGGGGGCAGGTGGGGGGTCGTGGGCCTTCGCATCTGATCTGGGCGAAGGGGGTTGGGGGCCCCCTCCTGTGGTAGAGGCAGATAGTTTATCCACCGGCAGGTGTTCTGCATCTTCATCCGAGTCCAGGTTCCCCTCTGCTGTAATCGACGGGCACTCCTCGGTCTCTGGAGGTACGTCCGAGTCCGACTGGGACGCCAACGAGTCGCTTGCTGATGTGGGGGGTGTCTCCTCTCCAGCTAGCACTACCCCAAGTCCAGTTGCCATGCCACCAGGAGGTATTGTAACTGGGTGCGATCCCTCTCCAGCTCCAGCAGCTCCACTTTGAATGTGATGTCGCTTCTGCTTGTGAGACCTCCTCTTGACTGAGTGTTGCTCACGGTCGTCTTCATCCCCCTCTGGAGAGTGGTCGCTCCCTTTGTCCTCTTCGCCATCATCGCTGGAGAGGGCGTGTGGACTGGGGTTGATGAAGGATGGGGAGATCTCCCCTTTGCGGTGTTTGAACTCACATGAGGAATAGCCAGGGGGGGAGGTGGAGGTAGCCTCCATATGCAAGTCAGTGGGGCAACTGGATTCTCCATCTGTTTTTGCAGATGCCTTTGTATGGTGGGCATGTTCTGCTGTGGACAGAGGGGTGGGCTCGCCTGTGGTTACCCATTCTTTTTTACCATATTCTTCCTCTGCTTCTTCCGCTTCTTCCGTTTCATACGCTTCTTCCTCGTCGTCTTCATAGCCTGGAGGAGGGGCACTTGGGCATGCGCCCGGCCCTTGTAGGAGTTCCCAGTCAGATATGCTACTCCTCCTCCTTTCGACCATCTTCTCTCCCTTCTTCATCTCCTTCTCTTTCTCATCAGTCTTGTCTTTCTTCTCCTCTGCCTTCCCGTCTTTCTCTTTCTCCTCCAACTTATTTTCCTTTACTTTCTCTTTCTCCTCTACCTTTTCCTTCTCTCCAGCCACCTCTGTCTTCTCATCCGTCTCTTTCTTCTCCTCCTCCTTCTGCTCTGGCATTTTGGTGTCCTCCTTTAGGGTCTCTACCTTGATCTCCTTATTTTCTTCCTCTTTCATTACCATCTTATCTTTCTCATCCTTTGTCTCTTTTTCCTCCTTTTTCTGTTCTGTTTCAGGCAGATCTGCTGTTGTGGCAAAAGATGCTTTGCTAGCTCCACTGAGGACTTCTTGGGGACTTGTGCTAACCTCAGTAGGCCCGTTGGAAGAAGCTTCAGTTGACCTCTGGGGTTTTGTCACCACATCAGATTGGGACACTGTTGTGGTTGTACTGGAGTTGATAGTGACCATGTATGTCTCAGCCATGGACAACATGCTTTCTTCTTGCTCTGTCACTGCAAATTTCTGGCATTCAATGCGGCATGGAAGAGTACTGTCCTCCATTTTGCAAGTGTAGAACTCTTTGCTGGCTGCTGAGCCCTGGGATTCTCTGTCAGAAGAGTCAGCACTTTGCAATGGGGAAACCTCAAAGAAAGCCCCTGAAGTGGATATGGTTCCAGCGGGTTTGGACAGCTGGGAACTTGGTGGTTCTGAAGCTCCAGCAGACGTTATGGTTTTGGGTTCAACAATGCCCTCAAGTTTATGAAAGTTATCCGAGGTTTGACCCTCGTCCATCTCAGGGCTTGATGATGAGTCGTGTTCAGTAATGTCTTTGGCTGGAGTATCTAAGACTGGAGATACTTTTGTCAGACTGAATGTAGCTGTAGTTGTTGAGGTAAGCTTTTCAGATGCCTCTAGGTACTCATCCTTTAACATGACCCCAGAGGTTGAGAGGGTTGAGTGCATGGATGAGGAGTCTTCATCTTTGAATAAAGAATACTCAAAGGAAGCACCCTCAGAATCTGTCCTGTAGGGGCCACTAGACATTCTGACAGGGGTCTCTATCTCCTCCCCCAACTGGTGGCTGGTTGATAGAAAAGCTGAGGCAGATGAGAGGTAACACGAAGGAGCTTCCTCAGGTTTTCTACTAGTGGTATCTGGGGTTCTCTGCCTGTCAGCTTCAATATCTCCCTGACTGTAATGTTTATCTACACTGGACTTGGTGGGCAAAGAGAGGTCAGGACTGTCAAATCTCTCCTCCTTTAACCCCAGTTGGCTGTCCTCTGAATACTCTGAGGATTCAGAAGGATATCCTCCAGATCCTGTTTGTTCTATTGCAGTGGAGCTGCCAGACTGGAGTGGCGAGGCCCCAACTACATTCTTCAAAAGGGAATCTGCAGTATCTGCCAGTGGAGGGCTGCTTGTGTTCATTGAATGGGAAGGTTCCTCCTTTTTGAGGAGGCTGGGTTCAGGTTCGGGTGAGAGGGTCTTCTTGTCCTCTTCCTTTGTCACAGGAAGTTTAGAAGTAGTGGTACCGTCCAATGTAGTTTTACAGATTTCTTTTTCAGACTGCTCTCTCACGCCCTTCTCCACATCTAGATCACTGGCTTCTTCTTCTGCATCATCTTCATCATTATCATCATAATTCTCTCCCACCACCAGTAGCCTCTTATCTACACTGTCCGGAGTGTCTTCTCTCTCAAAATAGCCCATTGTAGATTTACTGGCGATAGAGCTGCCAATTTGAGTGCACTCAGACGCAAGAACATTATCGTCTAGGAGCTGTCCTGAATATGCGGCCAAGGGGGTAGCAGCGGCCCGATTGTCCATTTCCTTAGGTAAAGCTTGATGAGGTAACATGTCTTTTTCCGCTGGTGAGTAGCGACCAGAGGGAGAGTCTCCTCTCTCACTATCAGATGAATCCATATTGTCTTTCACTGGCTCATCTTTTTCTTTCTCTTTCTCCTTCTCTGTGGTCTGCTTCTCAGGGATGTCTTCAAAAGGCATGGCAGTAGCAGAGGCTTTGTCACCGGTGTTGGATTGACTCCATGAGGGAGAGGCTGTTTCCTTTCTGCCTGACTGGACTGGCAAATACTCCTCTGCACTGGGAGATGCTCCAGTCTTATCCTTCTCTCCTGTAGATGTTTGAGGGGCCGACCTGATATTGTCCTTCATTTCATCCTCAACCTTTTCAGGTTTATCTTCTTTGAGACTGAAAGCAAATGAGCATGGCTCCGCTAATGGGGTGGTTTTGTTGTCTTGAGTCTCTGTATACACAAAGCTGTTTTCCACATGTGGTGTAGATTGTCCCTCCTTCCGATCACTCTCTTCCTCTTGACCTTTCTCTTTGTCATTGTGTTCAGTGAAGGCACTTGAGCTGCAATGGAGGCTTCTCTCGCTCTCGGTGAAAGGTGGAGGGGTGTAATCAACTCTGCTGAATGACAGCGGTTCCTCTTTTTCCTCATCCTCTGAGTAGAGTGCAGCTGCACCAGCATCTGCCTGGCTATTTTTCCTATTATCATCAATGCCAATTTGTGTTGACCGATCAAACTCTCTAGAAACCTCACTGTCTTCTTTATAGTCTGATTCCTGTTCTTTTGAAATTGTATTTTCATAGGGTTCATACTTAGACACACCAAAGCCCAGATTTTCCCCTTGCAAGCTCACACTGACAGTCTCCTTCTCTGTTGTCATTTTGTCAAAACCTTCCACTTTTTCAGAGGCACTGTCTGCTTCTGTAGCATCAACGTGGCTCACTTTCTCGGGAACCTTCTCAGAATCTTTATCCAAGACAAAATATGAACAAGGTTGTGTGTGCTCTGGGGAAGCAACTTCCCGCTCTTTTTCCATTTCCCTCTCAGCTTCCTTGCCTGGTTTCTCATCTTCTTTTGGAGAAACATGCTTTGTCTTTTCATCTGTATTAGATGCTTCTTTGCTTGTTGTCATAGAAAGCAGCAGTGTTTCATGCTGGGTGGATTCCGTCACACTGGCCTGGCTATCGGTGCTTAATAGTGTTGAACCTATAGACTGTTTGTCTGTAGTGGTGGAGTCAGAGGCTGGCTCTACTTTGGTGGTAGGCATAGCAGAGACTGGCTCCTCTTTCAAGGTAGGGAAACCAATTGTGGACTCTTGGCTGGGATGGGGTCCTGATGTGGTCTCAGTTGTCTTGATGTCCTTTTCTAGTTCAGGGGAGAGTCTATGTTGTTGCTCTTTACGCTGCTCTTTGAGGTCTTTATCAGTAGAGGACTCCCGTTTTGGTAATGTAGACACAAGCCCAGTGGTCTGTTCAGAGTGGCTGTCCTTCATTTGGTCACTAAGCACATTCTCTGATGACTGAGTTGAGAGCAGGTCTTGAGAGATGATGTCGTGTTCTGATTGTCTAGGTTCCACTGACAAAGGTCTTGAGCCTGCACCACCCATGCAAATGGATTCCTCATCTTCCTCCTCATCTTCCTCATCTCCATCTGAGTACTGAACCTGAAATGTAGATTCAAGCTTTGTCGCAGAAGTCACCTCTATTCTTTCTACCATTGTTGTCTGTATGCTGTGTTGTAAAGCCTCTTTTAGATCTTTCTCTTGCACCTCCTCTCTATCTGTCTCCCATTTCTCCTCTTTAGTAGGTTCAATCTCATGAGAATCATATTTTCCTGTCTCTTTCTTGCTCTTCTCATCTTTGACTGTGTCAGCTGTGTCATTTTCTTTTGCTCGTTCCTCTCCTTTAATGGGTTCAGCTTCATAACTTTCATCTCTATCTTTCTCTCTTTTCTCATCTTTGATGTCTTCGAAATCACTAGTATCTTCTTTTTCTTTCTCCTTTTCCATCTTCTGTTCTTTACTGACTTCAGCCACATAAGTATCATCTTTCTCTTTCTCCATATTTTCTTCCTGACTGACATCAATCTCAAAAAAAGTATTGTTTTCTTTTTCTTTCTTGACCCCCGTGGTGGATTCAGCCATATCATCCTTTTCTTGCTCTCTGTGCTCTTCTTTAGTCTGTTCACTGTCAAAAGTATCTCTCTCTTTTTCTATTTTCTCTTCTTTCATTGGTTCAGACTTAAGAGGATGTTCTCTCTCTATCTTTTCCTCCTTGAAGGGATCAGTCTTACAAGTGTCATCCCTCTCTTTCATCTCATCTTTCATGGGTTCAGCCACAAAATTATCTTCTGTTGTGGTGAAGTCTGAGGCTGTTTCCACTTTAAAGGTAGAGATACAAGAGCTTAGCTCGTCTTTAGAAGTGAATATACTCTCTATTTCTTTCTGTTTTTCTTCTTTCGTAGGTTCAGACTCAAAAGTATCATCTTTTTCTCCCTCCTTCTCTTTCTTCTCTTCCTTGATGGGTTCAGCTTCAGTGGTACCAAACTTTTCTGTTTCTTTCTTCTCTTCCTTGATGGGTTCAGCTTCATGAATGTCATCTTTTTCTTTCACTTTCTCATCTTTATCTTCCTTGATGGGTTCAGCTTCAGTGGTACCAACCTTTCCTGTTTCTTTCTTTGCTTCCTTGATGGGTTCAGCTTCATGAATGTCATCTTTTTCCTTCACTTTCTCATCTTTATCTTCCTTGATGGGTTCAGCTTCAGTGGTACCAACCTTTTCTGTTTCTTTCTTCTCTTCCTTGATGGGTTCAGCTTCATGAATGTCAGCTTTTTCCTTCACTTTCTCATCTTTATCTTCCTTGATGGGTTCAGCTTCAGTGGAACCAACCTTTTCTGTTTCTTTCTTCGCTTCCTTGATGGGTTCAGCTTCATGAATGTCATCTTTTTCCTTCACTTTCTCATCTTTATCTTCCTTGATGGGTTCAGCTTCAGTGGTACCAACCTTTTCTGTTTCTTTCTTCTCTTCCTTGATGGGTTCAGCTTCATGAATGTCATCTTTTTCCTTCACTTTCTCATCTTTATCTTCCTTGATGGGTTCAGCTTCAGTGGTACCAACCTTTTCTGTTTCTTTCTTCTCTTCCTTGATGGGTTCTGCTTCATGAATGTCATCTTTTTCCTTCACTTTCTCATCTTTATCTACCTTGATGGGTTCAGCTTCAGTGGTACCAACCTTTTCTGTTTCTTTCTTCTCTTCCTTGATGGGTTCAGCTTCATGAATGTCATCTTTTTCCTTCACTTTCTCATCTTTATCTTCCTTGATGGGTTCAGCTTCAGTGGAACCAACCTTTTCTGTTTCTTTCTTCGCTTCCTTGATGGGTTCAGCTTCATGAATGTCATCTTTTTCCTTCACTTTCTTATCTTTATCTTCCTTGATGGGTTCAGCTTCAGTGGTACCAACCTTTTCTGTTTCTTTCTTCTCTTCCTTGATGGGTTCAGCTACATGAATGTCATCTTTTTCCTTCACTTTCTCATCTTTATCTTCCTTGATGGGTTCAGCTTCAGTGGTACCAACCTTTTCTGTTTCTTTCTTCTCTTCCTTGATGGGTTCTGCTTCATGAATGTCATCTTTTTCCTTCACTTTCTCATCTTTATCTACCTTGATGGGTTCAGCTTCAGTGGTACCAACCTTTTCTGTTTCTTTCTTCTCTTCCTTGATGGGTTCAGCTTCATGAATGTCATCTTTTTCCTTCACTTTCTCATCTTTATCTTCCTTGATGGGTTCAGCTTCAGTGGAAGCAACCTTTTCTGTTTCTTTCTTCGCTTCCTTGATGGGTTCAGCTTCATGAATGTCATCTTTTTCCTTCACTTTCTCATCTTTATCTTCCTTGATGGGTTCAGCTTCAGTGGTACCAACCTTTTCTGTTTCTTTCTTCGCTTCCTTGATGGGTTCAGCTTCATGAATGTCATCTTTTTCCTTCACTTTCTCATCTTTATCTTCCTTGATGGGTTCAGCTTCAGTGGTACCAACCTTTTCTGTTTCTTTCTTCGCTTCCTTGATGGGTTCAGCTTCATAAAAGTCATCTTTTTCTGTCTCTTTCTCCTTCATGTCCTGTTTGAGGGGTTTTACATCAGAACTATCATTATCGTCATCATCCTCACCTTCGTCATAATCTAAGAAGCTACTCTCCTTCTCCTTTGGGAATTTAGCCTTACTGCACACGTTGGATTCTTTTTGTTGATGGTCATCATCTTCCTCATCACTGTGTTTGAGTATAGCCTTACCACTATAAATGTCTACTGTCAGAGATTCCTTTCCTGATACGGAAGCTTCATCTTTGCCTGTGACTGACTCAGAGGTAAGAGGAGTTGTCTCATGCTTCTGTTGCATCTCATCTTTGGAAGGGGAGAGACCACATTTTTCTTCCACTTTTGTAACAGGCAAGTCTTTTTTAAATGATTTCTCCACAGATGGTAGTGTGTCTGACTCAACATTCTTGATGTCAGCATCCAATTTTTGATTCTTATCCACTTTATCTTCCTTTTCTGCTTGATCTTTCTTTGCATCCTTATCTTCTGTTTTGGTGGCTGAATCATGAATGTCCTCCTGTGTTTGTTGCTCCAGTCCTGGGAAGCCCTGGGTCTTTTCCTCCACAGGCGACTGATGAAGAGGAGAGTGAGTTGGAGAGTGGGTTGCACTGGGGGGGCCAGATTGTGTGGGAGAGGCCATTCTCACAGTGCTATCGTCTGGACTGCAGCATCGCTCTTCACCTTCCGAAGTAACTGAGTCTGACCTAAAAGGCTTTGAGAAAGAGAGTGGTGGTGAAAGGGGTTTTGAAGGCACCACCGTTAAGATGTCTTCTTTGGACTTAAAGAGTTGTACCTCCTCAACTGGTAGGTGATCCAGCTTCAAATCCTGAACAGGTTTGGAGACAGGAGACTCAGAAGCAGGGAGCTTTTCCACATCCCTTTCTCTATCCTGGAGAATTTGAGGGGAGGCATAGCTCTCCTGGAGTTTTCCAAGGGAAATGTTAATGTTAAGAGTTTGGTCCTCATCTTCTTCCGCCTCTTCATCATGACTCTTGATGACCTTAGCCTCTGTCTTCAAATCAGAGATAACAAGCAGGCACTCTTCGGATGGAAGTGACTTCATGCACTTGTCTTCCTCTAAGGAGGATGTTGGTGAGATGGTCCCAGCAGAGTGTAAGTGTTCTTTCCCATGTGTGGCCTCAGTTGGAATCGCCAGGGGAACGCTATTAACAGTGTCAAGAAGCAGAGAGCTTTTGCCTGTTTCCTCAGTCTGAGGTGTAGTGACGGAGGCCACTGATTGGTCCTCTGCAATAGAGGTGGGGAAGGAGGACAATTTATCATACTCTGTGATGGATGTGGCTGAGGAAACATGTTCCTCCTCAGCCAAGGGAGCAGCAATGATGTTAGTGAATACCGATACTTGCTCCTGTCCAGAAATTAAACCTTTGGCTGTTACATCAGCCATAGCTGATGCTTGCATCTCCTTCATCCCATGGATGGTGTCAAAGGAGCCTGTCTGATCTGGGACAGAGATGTCATATGCGGCCACTTCGTATTGGAGGTTTAGTATCCTATCTTCAGCCTCCTCGTGAACTTCCTCATCAGAGATGGTCTGTTCAGTTTCAGAGTAGCCGGGAATGGTTTCGTCTTGAATTAAGGAGATGGGCTCGGCTGCAAGCGTTCCTTGCAGTGTTGACACTATGTCAACTGTAGCGCCTCCCACATTTGAGATGTAGCCCTCTTCATCTTCCTCATCCTCCTCTTTGGCTTCAGCAGTATGTTTAACAGTTTTGCTTTCCTTGTTCTTGGCCAATGTTTCTTTCTCTCCCGCTTCAGGTTTGATTTTGACCTCTTCATCTGCTATCATGTCTAAATCTTCTACCTCTTCCAGCTCGGCCTTTTCAACAACATGTTCATCTTCTTCCTCTTTCTCCTCCTGGGATGGAGTCTTTCTGCTTTCCTCTTCTGTTACCGCCATAGCTGTGGGCTTTTCAGCTTTCTCCATTTCCTCCACCTCATGTTTCCTGTCTAGTTCGTTATCCTTCACATCATCTTTTGCATCATCTTCCTCCTCCCCTATCCCCATATCTTCCTCTTCCTGAAATGTTTTCCTCTCTGCAATCGGGCCTTCTTTTTCTTCTTCCTCATCATCTTCAACTGCAGCTCCCTCATCCTCATATAGTTCCACATCCTCTGCTTGTAATTCTTCTTTATGCTCTTGTGTTAATTTGTCCTCTTTGCTTTGAGATTCAGCTGTGGCTACTCCCTTCTCAGGAGACTTTGTGCCTGGTGGAGTTTGAGAGACAGTTTCCTGTTCTTTCTCCTCCTGGGTAGGGGATTCGGCCATGCTTTCCTCTGCTGGTGTCTCCACTGCACTCTCAGGTGGCTCTGATGATACCTCATCTTGTTTTAACTCCTCAAAATCCTTGGTAAGATCCTCTGGAGTGGAGGAAGCAGATATGCCCTCAACAGCCCCATTCTGTAGTGGCTCAGGCTGAATGGTCTCTGCTGCTGGTTCCTCAGGTTTGGGTTCAGCCGGCTCTGCCTTGACCGCTTTGACTTTGCTTTTGTCGGTTTTGGGTTTACTTGACACTTTTGCCCTGTGCAGGGTCTTTCTGACCTCTGGTGTGAGGGGTTTTAAGTCAGGTTTTGTTATCTTTCTCAACTCTGACTTAGACTTATCCTTTCTCTTGTCAACTTTGGGGTCTTTTTTCTCTTCTCTTTTAGCTGTGTCAACTTTCTTGACCTCTTTCTTTTCCTTGTCTTTTTTCTCATCCATCTTGGATGCCCTTTCCTTTGAATGTTTTTTCAAGGATTTCTCCTTTAAAAGTTTTTTCTTTTCTGCTACATCAGTCTTGGATTTTAGTATTTTTGTGGGTTTTTCATTCTCTTTAAGTTTCTTCTCCTTTTTCTCTATCTTGTTCTCCTTTACAGAGTCACTCTTTGCCTCTGTGGCTGCCGATACCTCATCATCTGCTTCTTTCTTAGGGGCTTTTGTAGGCTTGGGAGATGATTTCAGACTTTCTTTGCTGTCTGTCCTTTGCTTTAACTTTGTATGTTTTACAACAGAGGGAGGAGCCCCTGAGGCTATGTCTTTTTGTGTGGCTACTGGGTATCGCAAGAAGTCAAGGTGCTTTAATTTCTCTAGCCCCTCCAGGATTTTGTTTTGTGGTGCGTTTCCAGGGAACAGCACTCTGACAATCTTTTCTGCAGGATTGGCAGGAAGCCACACAACTAATGCTGTAACTGATGTCAGGTAAGGTACAGATATTTCTCCCTCTTTTCCATTGGGAAGCACAATGCCTGTTTTGGCCTTGCTGTTACCAGCCCACTTCTGCATGAGAAACTGCATCTCCTTACTGTCCTTGACAGGGTTCAGAACATACATGTCTAACTTGCCCACTCCCATCTTATGAAAAAGAGTGAAGGGCTCAATAGTGTTGCTGACCAGTCTACAAAGAGGCTCCGGCTTTATTCCCAGTTTGTTGAGGTACTGCAACGTGAGGGAGGCCTCCTCGATGCTGCGCTTGACCTTTAGGTTTGATTCTGGCATACGTAGCTTTTCGGGTACATTGAAGAAGATCACACCAAGCTCTGGAGAGATCAGGTTCTTCATCCAGTCACTGTAGGTGGTGGAACCTTGTGACTGCTCCTCCTCCTGCTCTGCTATTTTCCTCTGAAGGAGCCCATTGATGCCTGGCAGATTGTCTGCACCAATGTGAGTGAGTAGAATCGAGTCGATGCGGTCCAAGTGTCTGACCAGCTTCCAGAAGCATGATTTCCGTTCAGAGCCTCCATCTACTAGGATGTTGAAGCCGTTGACCGCGAACAGGGCCGAGTCGCCCCTCCCCCCAGGGAAGATGTAGCAACAGGGCCTGGACAGTTTCAGGAAGCCTCCAGATGTGGGCGGCTCCAGGAGGTCAAATGGAGAAGGCACGTCCACCGTCTCGGAGATGTACTCCGTGAACTCTGTGACTCCCTCCATCTTGGGAAGCACAGGCTCAGGGTTCAGTCTGTACTCAAGGAACTCCCGTAAGTGCTGCTGCTGACCCAGGGAGCTCCAACCCACCTCCGCTCGGCAGGACACAGTGAGTGTGGCCCGCTGCTTGGGGGCTGCTTCGCCCAGCAAATCACTGACCTACAGGAGAATGATAGACGAGACAAGCCAAGGTTAGTGTTGATGTATAAAGATTGCTCAATGACATTGTTGTTTTCATTTTCATCCACAATTCCAGTTCATGTGGGGAATATAAAATATTTGTTTTTCATTGGTAATCTAATCATTAGAAACACATGAGCTTTTCAGTGCTACAAACTATAGTAAAATGCTAGGACAGGCTGTTCTGAACAGGATTTGACTGTTCTGAACAGTAATAGCTTACCCCAGGATCAGCAAAGACTTGTGAGAAGCTCTTATAGGTGAAAACCCCACTTTGGAGAAGCAGGTCACCGTGGTCTGCGTTCTGCCCACTCAGGACCAGGAGTTTGTGTCCTGCTGAGTCTGTGACTAGAGACCGGATCTGGGGCAGAGAACAAGACAGAGCAGAGTTATAGGAAACAGCACAGAACAAAGATTGTATCTTTTTATATGGGTTACACTATGAAATTAATCAAATGTATTTACATTTTGTTATGCCATTATGGTATGCCATTTTAAGCACGGTGAGAGAAAATAGTTTGTTTTCTTATAGGAAAAAAATGAAATGCATGACAAAATGTAAACAGATGTGTATATAATGATTGAAAGCTGGTTTAAATATAGTCCCAAATATAGTCTTGAAACACACCTCTGAAGCAACTGTATCCTCTGATGGGTTGACTAACACGACTGTCTCTAGGACATCGCTCTTGTGGTGGAGAGTCCTTTGTCCTACAGGGGCCAGAAAATCGAACAACATGAGGAGAGAGGCCAGACGTGTTTTGTCAACATCTTTCATATGCTTGCTTTGAAGTGTTCCTTTCAAATCCTTGTAGACATAACCAACATTGGCACAGGTCAACAACTTAAGAGGCTACTGAGAATCTTGCCAGAGTCTGAGCAGTCTGCCCCAAAGACATCCTGCTGGAGAGCATCCAGAGTTTATCTTTGAAAACCTTTTTGAGTCGGGAGATTTAGTACTCTGTACTGCATGGTGCCTGTATGTGGGGCAGACACTTAGAGACAGCCCACCCCACAGTGCGTCAAGGCAAGAACAAAAGTTGGAATAGGAAATAGGTCACCAATGTCTACTACTGGCTGTGGCTTGAAATCAGCGCTAACAGAGGTATAGCTTCTTAGAACAGAACAAACCCACTGGGCACACACTGGTTGAACCAACGTGGAATAGACGTTGAATTGACGTCTGTACCCAGTGGGAAGTGAAGAACAGCTACTGACATTTTCATGCAAGGGAATTGAGAATTGGATAATACCTAAAATAGAATGACATGGCTTTGTAACATATAAGCATTGCCTACTAATTGGTTGGTGATGTCATTGGAAACACTTATCTTCCTCTATCTTTTTCGCTAAAAAACATAGAAATGCGACATTTTCACATACTTTGATGTTGGGGTGGTGCTGGAGATGATGAAGCAGAATTTTTTCGAAATGTAAAATACCAGGCTTTTAAAATTCAATATTGGTGCACAATTTCTAATTCAAATATCAAAGGGATGCAAAAGTGACTCTTTTCATGGAACGACCCATTCTGTGTCAGCATTTCTACCCATTCAGTTCAGAGGTGTGACGATAAGCTTTTAATTCCCGTTTGTTTAAGCACCAGTGCAGACTAATAATAGAGCCAGCTAATAATAGAGGGAACTTGACTCGGCATTCCACTTGGTATCTCCTATACATCCCTTGAGTTTGTGGTCCTCTGTAGCTCAGCTGGTAGAGCACGGTGCTTGTAACGCCAAGGTAGTGGGTTCGATCCCCGGGACCACCCATACACAAAAAAAAATGTATGCACGCATGACTGTAAGTCGCTTTGGATAAAAGCGTCTGCTAAATGGCATATTATTATTATTATTATTTGTCATCCTGCGCCATTTTGGTACTGTATCTGCACTGTCAACTGTTTGCTGTGAAAGAGCTCTACAGAGGGTCGCTTGTGTTGCTTGTAGTGCTGAGCGATTCGTGTTTTTTGAGGTCGGTTCGGTTTCAGTTTGATTATTAAAAAATATTAATGGTTTTCGGTTTTGATTATTTGGGTTGAATGCTGTAACAACACAGAATAAAACAATTAATAAAAGTCCCATGATGGTAGTGACTGTCCATTACAGCTTATCACTTATTAACCATCATTTATTCACATTAGTTTACTTTAATAAAATGTTTCAGTTGTTGTGTATATTACATTTCTTTTATTTAATGACTTTATTAATTAATTCCAAGTCATCATCTCATCTCTATAGAGCTGCTGCATATGCTGTCTGACAAAATCACTATTTTGTAGTACTTCAAAGTAAATAAGGCATACTTTTATGACTGCTGAATTCCAACTATCAATCACTTAGATCATGTATTTTCAGGTAGAGATACTGAACCTCGCGAAACAAGAGCTGCTCTTTATATCCCCTCACGATTGCGCAATGGATTGTGGTTATTGTAGTGAATTACAACGTTTTATGCGCTAAACTATGTAGAATATTGGCCTGTTGGATACTACAACTCCCTACTACATCGCACAGTTCAGGCTGGATCTGATTTATCTCTAGAGAAAATGTGCAATGTGCGCATTGAGCTCACAGAAAAAAACAGAACGACATGGAACTGAACCGACGTGGGTCAATTAGTTGTTTAAAAAACAAAAAATAATCAACATTTCAGTTAATCGCTCAGCGCTAGTTGCTTGCCACATGCAAGTAGTGATTACTGGATTGTGGACTGAGAAAGAGGAGAGTCAAGGTAAAATAGTAAATTAGGGGATAAAAGGTACGGGCTTAGGTGGTGAGAATGACAACTTACATTTACATTTTCATCATTTAGCAGACGCTCTTATCCAGAGCGACTTACAAATTGGTGCTTTCACCTTATGATAGCCAGTGGGACAACCACTTTACAATATATCAAATTATTATTATTATTATTGTTTTTATTTATTTTTTGGGGGGGTGGGGTAGGGGGAGGGTAGAATGATAACTTTTATCCTATCCCAGTTATTCCTTAAAGAGGTGGGGTTTCAAGTGTCTCCGGAAGGTGGTGAGTGACTCCGCTGTCCTGGCGTCGTGAGGGAGCTTGTTCCACCATTGGGGTGCCAGAGCAGCGAACAGTTTTGACTGGGCTGAGCGGGAACTGTGCTTCCGCAGAGGTAGGGGGGCCAGCAGGCCAGAGGTGGATGAATGCAATGCCCTTGTTTGGGTGTAGGGAATGATCAGAGCCTGAAGGTATGGAGGTGCCGTTCCCCTCACAGCTCCGTAGGCAAGCACCATGGTCTTGTAGCAGATGCGGGCTTCAACTGGAAGCCAGTGGAGTGTGCGGAGGAGCGGGGTGACGTGAGAGAACTTGGGAAGGTTGAACACCAGACATGCTGCAGCGTTCTGGATGAGTTGTAGGGGTTTAATGGCACAGACAGGGAGCCCAGCCAACAGCGAGTTGCAGTAATCCAGACGGGAGATGACAAGTGCCTGGATTAGGACCTGTGCCGCTTCCTGTGTAAGGTAGGGTCGTACTCTGCGAATGTTGTAGAGCATGAACCTACAGGATCGGTTCACCGCTTTGATGTTAGCGGAGAACGACAGGGTGTTGTCCAGGGTCACGCCAAGGTTCTTTGCACTCTGGGAGGAGGACACAACGGAGTTGTCAACCGTGATGGCGAGATCATAGAGCGGGCAGTCCTTCCCCGGGAGGAAGAGCAGCTCCGTCTTGCCTAGGTTCAGCTTGTGGTGGTGATCCGTCATCCACACTGATATGTCTGCCAGACATGCAGAGATGCGATTCGCCACCTGGTTATCAGAAGGGGGAAAGGAGAAGATTAATTGTGTGTCATCTGCGTAGCAATGATAGGAGAGACCATGTGAGGATATGACAGAGCCAAGTGACTTGGTGTATAGAGAGAATAGGAGAGGGCCTAGAACTGAGCCCTGAGGGACACCAGTGGTGAGAGCATGTGGTGCGGAGACAGATTCTCTCCACGTCACCTGGTAGGAGCAACCTGTGAGGTAGGACGCAATCCAAGAGTGAGCCGCGCCGGAGATGCCCAACTCGGAGAGGGTGGAGAGGAGGATCTGATGGTTCACAGTATCAAAGGCAGCAGATAAGTCTAGAAGGATGAGAGCAGAGGAGAGAGAGTTAGCTTTAGCAGTGCAGAGAGCCTCTTCGTGACACAGAGAAGAGCAGTCTCAGTTGAATGACCAGTCTTGAAACCTGACTGGTTTGGATCAAGAAGGTCATTCTGAGAGAGATAACAAGAGAGTTGGCTAAAGACGGCACGCTCAAGAGTTTTGGAGAGAAAATAAAGAAGGGATACTGGTCTGTAGTTGTTGACATCGGAGGGATCGAGTGTAGGTTTTTTGAGAAGGGGTGCAACTCTCGCTCTCTTGAAGACTTGGCCTGATATGACAGACAGTGTACACTTCTCATCCAAAATCAGGATGGATACTTTTGATTCATTTCCAAAATAGGAAAAGTTTGCATTTGAACAGCTACTCCCACATATCACTGGTTGTATGCTGTGAAGTGGCAGCTCAAACTCTCTGTGATTGGTTGGAGTCAGTCAGTTGACTCAGTAGGAGGAACAGAATCATTGGCTGATATAAAGCAAAGTGAAACCTCGTCTGAATGGTTGTGGTGCTAATGAGCTTTCGTTGCCAATTATAAAGTATGCTTTATTACTCTTAATTGAGGATGCTGGCTATATCATTACATAGAAATTGGAAACCGACCAGCACGGGCGTAAAATAAAATAAAATTAACAAACATTTCTGGATGTTGTGGTAACAATTCAGAGACATTTTGGAAGAAAGGCACACCAACCAGAGGATACAGCTCACTTGATTGCTGTTGCCATGGAAATGGACCGAATTGCTCATCATTACCCTGACCCGGCCTCTGTGTTTTACAGTGAGACGCATTGCAGCATTAGTCTGTGAGAGAGGAAAGGAGATTGGACCTGGGGCTTCAGGCAAACTGACCACTGCTACAGAACTGATCAAATGCTGCTATTTTTTATTTTTTTATTTAACCTTTATTTAACTAGGCAAGTCAGTTAAGAACAAATTCTTATTTACAATGACGGCCTACCGCTATTAGCAGCAGGAAGAAGCAAACTGTTAGTATGGTCCCAGATTTGTTTGTTCTGTCTTGCCAATTAGCATAGAAGCTGGTTAGACCACATAAACAGATCTGGTACCAGGCTAGGCAAACTATGAGAGAGACAGCGAAGTTTTACTGTATAGGCCTACTATACATTCAGCAGTGAGGTACCAAAAGAGAACCCCGTTCACTAGAGCATAATGGAAGAGCAGTTGATGAGAGTTCACCCACTTCAGCCTAGCTGCCCACAGACTGTGGGGAAGAAGACTCACTGCATCGTGACTAAGCCATTGACTACATCAGTTAGTTTGGATATCTTGCAGTATAAGAGTACAGATTATGGGGACGTTGGGGAATATACAAAACATGGGCGTAATGGAATATGAGAACAAAGGAATATCAGACCCAGGCAGAATAAGGATAAGAAGGATATCATCTATTCCCAGAGAGACAGCATGTCCCTTTGCCCTCCTGATGTGCTTTCTCAAGTGAAACAGAAGAGAGGAGACTGCATCAGCAGCTAGTGCCTGCAGGATGACCCCTCTCTGACATTGCAGACTGGTACATTGTGATACTTGAACAACAAAGAGTCTATGTCAAGCAGGGGCTGGTCAGTCCAGTAAGTAGACAGGTGAATAATACCCTACAGGAGAGAGACCTAAAAGAGGCTACCATTGCTTTCACTTCTCAGCAAGACAGAAT